GGGTTTGGGGCCTCTCCCCACTCTGAGCCTTGGCACTGTTTTCAGAATGGGAGGGGATAAAGGGAGTGGAGGGAGCTCACTCTGGGGGTTCTTTAGGTGGGGTGTTTGGATTGGAGCTCCCTCCATCTTGTGGGGAGGGGGGCTCCAATACACCTGCTCCACCCTCCAACACTCCTAGACTGAGCTCTCTCTGCTCCCTTTCCCCCCTCCCATTCTGAAACCAGTGCTGGGGCTCAGGGGCGGTGCAGACACAAGTTGCTAAGGTGTTCCATTTTGGAGCATCTTCATCTGACGATTTTCATGAGATTGGGCCCTTTTAAAGGGGCTGCCACTGTAGGCTGGGGCTGGGGATGGCACCAGGGTCTTCTTGGCAGGGGGGGTGGGCAAGAGCTATGCTGGGGGTGGGTGGTGGCAGTGCTGGGAGTGGGGGCTACAGGGTGGTTACAGCAAATTCTGGGGTGGCCACAGCCCACCCTATAGCCCCCCTACCCCAGTGCTGCTGCTGCCCAGCCCAAGCACAGCCCTGGCCCAGCCACCTCACTGGGAAGAGCCCCAGCCCACAGTGGCAGCCTACCTTCACCCTACACACTAATCCGGGGGCACACTCTCTCTATGGCTCCCCTAGGCATGCACCTAGAGGCAGGATCTGCCAACTACCTCCCCACAGCCCCCAGATAAGCCTCTTGCAGCTCTGTCCTGTCCTCCACCCTGCCTGAGAGTGCCTGTCCCAGGCCCAGATCCACTCACTGCAGGGGCCTCGCTCACCCCCCCAACCCTTTGTTCCCCCATGCCTCTTCCCCCCCAAAAAGACTTACTACCCAACCCTGCTCTCCAAGCTGTTGGGCTGCATATTGCCAGTTGGATTGGTATTGGCTGATATGACTTGTTAATAATCAGCCATCGGTACTGACCCAAAAAATCTTTATTGGTGCACCCCTAGTATAAACCTTGTTGCAATTCAGAATGGTGCACAGAAGCACCTAAACTCCACCTCTGCTCCTGAGCAGCCACCCTCTGTTAGGCATGGTGGAGCAAAACTAGAGTTAATAGTATCAGACTTGTCTCAAAGACTAGGGACAGAGATTATGCATAAACCTGTTTAAGTTATCAGAAACTGGTTTAAACCTGTAACAGAACAGATGTCCAGTGAACATAAACCAGTTTGAGATAAACCTGGTTGAATGTAGTATCAGTCTTAACTGGTTTGGGTGAAATTGGTTTATGGAATGTTGTCATAGGGCACTAAAGTGCCTGTTCCTTTAAGAGCAGAAACTGCCTAGGGAGAGGGCCCTAGGAGCCAGGCAGAAATCCCCACAGGTGTAGGTTACTATGGCAGCAGGCTAACAAGGGAATTAGCCTGCATTTGGTCAGCTGACAGGAAGAAGGCAGGGATCTGGGTGCACATAAACCCCAGGGCTGAGGCCAACAGGGGTTAGTTCTCTGGCAGCAGCCAGAGGAAGGAGCCTTCAGGGAAGAATTGCCCAGAGATGCTGGTGGCTGCCTGATATGCTGCCTATAGGCCTAGTGGAGCTCCAGGAGCTCACCAGGTACCCTGGGCTACAAGGCACTTAAGGCTTGGGTGGAAGTTTAACTCTTTTAAAGGGACATGGCGCACCCTGAACTGGTTGTATTATGTTATAGCCCAGGGGCTCATATTTTGGTTGTTGTTTATAAACCAGTGGACCAGACTGAGGCTACTGGGGAAGGAGGAGGCCTTATTGGGGCCTATTACAGTGTGGAGACCTCAGCACCAGGGACATGGTGACAAAGGGGGTGAACAGACCCCAGCACTAGGGGGCGTGAGAACAGAGCCCAGTGCCAGGGGATGCACAGATGACAGGGCTGTGGAGAGCCCAGTGATGACAGGAGGCTGAGCTAGACTAAGGCCTCAGACGGACAACATTTGAATGTCACTTGCAAGGCTTGGGGTGTGGTAAAGGGGCGGTTTTGGAACCACACATCTAACCCATAAGGCTGAGGGTGTCCCATGAGGCATCCATTTTGAGCAGGACCCAAAAGGGGTCCAAGAAACCACTGGGTTAAGCAGGGTCCATCAGGACTGTGTCCAAATGTAAACTCGAGGACAGTCTCCCTATTTATTATAATTACCAGCAAGACGTGGCAGGAAAGGAAAAGGGTGCCAGTTGGGCAAGATTGGCACAGTCACGGAGCCCTAGGGCCATCCCCGGGGACCCCACACTATGAGAAATGTCTATCCTAGACCCCTTGCTGGTTTAAGTTACACTAGACACCCCCAGCATTCTGGCATGCTGTCTGGGCTAGGAAGGGATCTTCTCCACAGCAGAGCTGGCTCCTCCCCTCTGCTCCCTGGCTGCTGCTCTAGCAGAGACTTGCAGGCTTCTCCCCCTGCCTCTCCCTCACCACTCCCTGCTAAGCAGGAATTCCCCCCTCCCCTCTGCCATGCTGAGAGGTATCTGTGTATTAGCTAGCAGACCACAAGCTGGCTCCAGTCCTTGCTGTGACAAAGGCAGAATCAACAGGTAGCTGGTAATGCCCCTCTATTGTTTTCTTAATGGGGTAATAAACACTGTTGTCAATTCCCTGCTAGGCTAATCAGAGCATCCTGCCAGGGCCTGGCCATACCCCTCCCTCAGCTCAGTACTGTAGAGAGGAAGGGAGGGCTTCTCTAGAACCCCCCTCCCCCCAGCTTCATTCATTTCTGGAATGAAAAGGGAATGTTTATCCACCTCCAAGTCAGTTCAGACTTTGCAGGTTAGATTGAATCAATTCATGGTCAGGGTTTTTGAACATCTTTTCCTAGCCAAAAACATTGAAGATGATAGCGGCACTGTAAGTCACCTGACTAAGGATAGGTACCTTTCTTCTTTAGGCTTGGAACAATTTTGCATCTAGCATTAAATTCATCTCAAAGATGTCATGGGTGCTGCCCACCTTCTGTGAAATAGTCCAGTAGTTGAAGAACTTGCTCAGGAAGTAGGAAGACTGGGTTTCTGGTCCTCATCCTGAGGGAAAATGAACCCACATCTTCCACCTCCTTGGAAGTATCCTAACCATCAGGCTATAGCATAGATTACATGGAGGCACCCTTCACACCTTCTGATGGAGTAGGGCCATGAGGCTGCAACAAGTAAGTCATATGGATCAGATAGCAAACAAGCAAGACGTTACATGCTCCTGCTGAATTCAGTCTCCTGGGAGAGGGGTGACCTGGCTGATGGTCCCTGGTCCCAGGACCGTGTATGCATCTTACCTTAGGAAGTCATTGATTAGAAAATAGAAATATTCTTCTTGAACAGGAAATAGAGCACACCTCTGAAGACTTTTTTTAGTCATTCTTCTGCCATGGTTACTCCCTTTTTTAACCAGTGGGCATGTCTACACATGACCCTGATGCTACATCACTGTAGTGATGAGCTATATTGTCATAGCTCATTGCTACAGCGATATAACATCTTGTGTAGATGCATACAATGACTAGCTGTGTAAACTGAGAGAATATTCTCACATTTCTTGGACCGTCACAGCTATAACAATACTCCAGGCCTCCTATTAATTTAAACTGAATAATTCATACATGTTAGCACTTGTGAAATTGGCTAGAAAAGAACTTCCCATTTCTTCCTGATCTTCAATAACATTTTTCTTATGGGGAAAATAAAAAGCCCAGACTATAAAACTACTATGTTCAACCCAACTATGTTTCCTAGTTCATTTTATGTCTTTATTTTCTTCCTTTATTTAATTATTTTATTTCATAGGGAAGAAAGGATATGGGACCAAAATATAAAATTTTCCAATTGCTAATCAGATTAGAATGTTACTCAAAACAACTATTTATTGTTAATTTTTTTAATGTGATGTTTGATTGAAAACACACCAGGCCAAATTCACTGTTGATATAAGTTATAAATGGTAAATTTTTCAGCCATAAGTATTTCAACAGCATATTGTCAGGGCAACGCTCTAGATTTCCTATCAACTTTACGTCTTTATATTTAGTAATTTGGTTTAAGTCACTGCTAGAACTCCCTTTGTTTTATTAATTCTAGGATTTTAAAAATCCAAACACCTACATCAGAGCACTTAATGGCTAAAAGTGATCAATGCTATAATAACTATGTAGGGTTGCCCATCCCATGTAAATTGCTGAATTTGTATATTTGTGTTTATACATATTTAACATATAGCTTTGGCAGGCTCTATAATGTGATGAGGTTATTCTTCTTGTAATAAAACACTTTGGAATTAATGGTTGAATGCATCTTGTTAGAAATAATCTGAAGCTATATTGGCAAAGCAAATATGGCTTGCTTTACCACTGTCAGGTCCATAAGTGGTGCCCTTAAATGAGCAAATGTCCAGTTTACTGAGGTCTTTTAACTGTGCCAGTATCTGGAGGCTTGTTGGACTAACTTGGCCACTGCTAAATCCAGACTTTCAAAATTAGTCAGTTTAGTTGAGCAAAAATCCTTTGACTGAACAAAATTCACCATTTATTAATTTTGGTTCTCTCTATGTACAAAACTGCAATTGCCTACAGAAATAGCTACTTAATTGTACTGTCAATTACCCTGTATGCACACTCAAAGAGCCTGTCTTGTGCACTCAAATGCAGGTTTTGCAGATATGGCATATGTGCATTAATTTTGTGGATGCAATTTAGGTGCTTCTAAAAATATGGCTCCTAGTTCCAATCTTAGAATTTTCAGGAATGTAATTAAAGCAATCCTGCACTTTTAAATTGACATCTGCCCCTGAATACCCTGTACCACAAGGCTTTGCATGATCATATTCATGTTTGCATGGTAGTGTTTCATGGTTAATACAAATCATAAACAGGCTATAAAAGCTGAAGCATCAATGAATCCTGGTTTTAAAATTGCTTGGAGCTAAAGTTTTAAAACTGATACTGCAAAGTGAAAAATGAAATTTAACCAGGCATTTTGGTGAAGGAAAAGTAATTTATTGGATGTAAGATGAAAAGCTGTGAGAGTAAACATCAATCTCATTTTAGACACATGTCATTGATTGATGTTTGCTCTGTGCTGCTGCCTGGAGGTAAACTCTTTGAAATAGCAAAGTAAGTACTTTATCTGTCTGTGGGTAGGAGCACAGTTTGTTAAGTTACTGCTTTTTTGAGCCCCTTCTACATCTTTATGTTCAATCAAAGAGAAAACAGTAAATCAGTGTAATTGCTTTCCCCCCATGGCATCTCTGTTTGTAAATGGGGAAAATACTGTAAAAATCCTCAAATTAACTTCTGCTGTTTTAAACTAGATTAAAAGTCTTAAAATGTCACTTGTAGTCCAGCATTGCATTTAATTGATTATGTCACTTATTCATCAAAGGCCGACTCTTCCTTCTAATTGAACCAATGGTTTAAATTTCATTAGGGAAAGCATTTAACCTTCAGAAATGTAAAGCTGTCATCTCTAAGAGCTCACCGTAATCCATTAGCTGTCAGGTTTTGAAATAGTTCCATTTTCAGCTAAATAAAAATGATGACTGTTATCAATAAATTGGCCAATGAAGAACATGGGCATAATCAATGAAATGGAAAGCAAAACAAACGTGAAATGGTAGCACTGTTGTGCTACATGGCAATTCAGCAAGCAAAATAGTCTGTTGTATTATAATTAAATTGTCAGCATTAAAATGGTTTCTAAAAATACTCTGTTGCCTTAAAAATACTCTGTTGCCTTAAAAAGTTTCTGGAGGGCCAATCTTTCTGTGATTCAACATAGGGTACATACAACGTAAGGCTATGCGAAGCTTTGGTTCCTGATTCGTTTCAGCGGAGATTTGGCCTGATTTGGTGGCTGAATCTCCGAATCTGAATCAAATCAGAGGATTCTTTAATCTCTCCAAATCAAATTAGAAACCTCTGAATAGATTCAGAGAGTTTCAGACAGATTCAGCAATTTGGACATAGATGCAGCTTTAAATGTTTTTTCTACCTACCTCTAGGTACCAGCACAGCTTGTGAGTGCTGTGATGCTGGGACACATGGAGTGTCCCACAGAAGTGTGTGGGACTCCCCAGCGTGCCAGCAGACCCAGAAGTGGACCAGAAGCACTTCTGGTCCATTTCTGGGTCTGCCAGGGGCATGCAGGGCCCCCCACCCCTGCATCCCCCTGGCTTGGCAGAGTAGCCCCTGACAGGCTTTTCCTCAGCTCCCTGCTCAAGCAGAGGTGGGTGTGTGGCCAGAAGCCAGGCCTGGTTGGCATGCAGAGGCGAAAGGTGGGGAGGAGGAGGGTTTAAAGCCCCTCCCTGACTCACATGGGGCCCCAACCATAGTCTGGGAGGGGCAGAACAGCCCCTGACAGGCTTTTCACCACTTTCTGCTTCAGTGGAGGAGGTGGAAGGCATGGCCACATGCCAGTCTGGGTAGGCACACTTAGGTGGAGGGAAGGGAGGAGGATTTAAACTCCCAGCCCCGCTCACACAGGACTCCAACTTGGTCTGCTTGGAAGGGACTGAACAATCCCTGACAGGCTTGTCCCCACTTGATACTCCAGCAGAGGGGGTGGTGGGTTGTGGCCAGACACCATCGGAGATTGGGATGCTGAGGTGGAGGGGAAAGATTGAGTTTCAACCCTCTCCCCTGCCCACATGGGACCCCAGCAGGGCATTGCATAATCTGACCATAAACCCTTTACATTTTTAATTATCAGGTCACTTTATTCTTAATACTGTAGTGCAGCCTAGGAGAAACAGTGACCAGAACAGCCTCTAAACCAGATCTCAGTTCCTGTTTTTTCATAGAGTTTGATTACCCAGATAAATTTGCTAGCCTTTATTCTGAAAGGCCAACTCAAGGAGATCATAGAATCATAGAAATTTAGTGTTGGAAGAGACTTCAGGAGGGCATCTAGTCCAACCCCCTGCTCAAAGGACCATCTCTAACTAGATCGTTTCAGCCAGAGCTTTCTTGAGCTAGGCCTTAAAAACCTTGAAGGATGGAGATTCCACCACCTCTCTAGGTAACCCATTCCAGTGCTTCTGCACCTTCCTAGTGATAGAGTTTTTCCTAATATCCAATGTAAACTTCCCTTGCTGCAACCTGAGACCACTGCTTCTTGTTCTGTCATGTGCCACCACTGAGAACAGTCCAGCTCCATCCTCTTTGGAATCACCCTTCAGGTAGTTAAATGCTGTTAATATATCCCCCCTCAGTCTTTTCTTCTGCATACTAAATAAGCCCAGTTCCCCCAGCGTCTCCTCAGAAGTCATGTACCCCAGCCCAGAACCATTTCTGTTGCTCTCTGATGGACCTACTTATTTATGTTGACTTAGTTAAGTTGCCTTATTTTAAGTCGACTTAGTGGCAATGCGTAGGGGGTGCATGCACACCCCCTGAGAGCGCCAGTGCACCCCCTGACCAGCCGCGCTTGCCACTTAGGTGATGGGCGGGGGGGCAGGTGGGAGCGCCAATACCCCCCCCCCCCCAGCACGTGCTGGCCAATCCCTACAGCCACTCCTGGAAGCAGCTGCAGTGATTGGCCACAGCAATTGGCTGTCATGGGATTGGCCGAAGTGGAAGCTCACCCCCCACCCCGGTTGGCTGGGATCAGCCACGGCAGACTCTCCCCCATCGGTGGGACTGGTTGCGGAGGAGGGGGGCATGTGCCCCCCTGACTAAGGCAGCACCAGTCGCCTGTGTTGACTTAGATGTGCGTGTGCAGCCAATAATATTAACCATTATATAAATATAACATTAATTCATTCATATAACAATTGGGCCTAGTTACTCACACTTTGACTGATATCGTCTAAGAATGAATTCATAATGGTATGGCATTTTTTTTAAATAATCATGCATGGTCTGTGAAATATTTAAAGGCACTCTTTCAGAGTTTGATCTTATTCTATAAGATGGAATTAATCAATATGAGAAGATCTGCAGCAGTCTGCAATTTGGTTGTCCAGTCTTGCCTAATTATCTGAACATTTTGACTCTTGCTTTGAAAGCTACATCAATATATTGTTGAGAACCTTTATGGGAATATTCTCGTGATATGTGCAAATCTGTGCCATACAGTTCAGACTCCTGGGATATGAATACAGTATAAACGCCTACAAAAGTATATGCACATTTTGGGTTGCTTTCAAATTACAAAATGACAAAAGGAACTATTAAAAAGACTCAATTTCCATTAACTAAAGTGTTTGCAATAAATAAAAGTGTGTCAGTTGGCAGCATTCTCTTTGAACCAAAATAAATACATTTTGTGACATACACTCAAGGAAATGTGATTCCTTTAACGTTCATGCAAATAAGAAGCAATCTTATGAACGCTAGAGATTTTGCCATCTGCTATTAACAAAGAAACACAACACTCAGCTTGCAGCTCTTACTAAGTTACTGTTTATAAATGGTGTGTTAGGCATAGCAACACTCTTTTGTTGTTGCCATAATCATTCTAAATTGTTGCAAGTAGTGAATGCCAGTCAATACCCAATTTAGGATGGGTGTCAAGGATCTGGAAGTCCTGTGTTTGGATTCATTTTCCCATCAAATAAGAGAGAGAAGAGAACCTCCATTTCAGAAATGAATCATATTGGCTATTTAAAAAAATGTCTGAGTGGCAGAGAGAATACTTGTTTGCTTTTCAGAAACTGGCTAGGGACCAGAATTATAACTAATTCAGAAGGAGACACCTATATGAACAACTGGTAGCAGAGTAGATGCCAACTAGAAAGCTTCTCAGAGAGGTTTGGGCTTTTAAACTGGGAAAAAAGTAGCTTGCAAAGGAAATATAATGAGATCCCTACCATTCTGAGTTAACACATTTAGCAACTTTTATCTGATTAGCAAAGAACTAACTTTAGTAGACTGGTATTATAAAAATGCTTACCTTACTAGGGTATTACAGAGAGTGTAACATAATTGGCAGAGCAGTTGTACATCTTGGATTGGAAGACTTAGATCAGCAGAGCAGTTGTACATCTATCATGGGTGCAATACTTATTTTATAATTTCATGCATAAACTTCTGTATGAGGCAAGCCCCACTGAAATAGTCATGTTGTGATCAACTCTTCTCTGTTGGTGCCCATAGTTCTATTCCAAGATTATCCCTTTAGTATATTCCAAAAAACATGGATTGTTTTTAAGTATATCTATCACTTATGAAAAATTGATAAAAAGTACTTTATGCAAAAAGGAGGTATATCTTAGGTAGCCGCTTTTCACACTTTCTTGATGCTACTATGAGTTAATTTCATTTTACAGAGGTTATTTCTTTAAATCAGAGCACTGTTAAATCTCAATGTTCTGGTGTCCATATCTGTCCCCTATCCAAATGTATCAAAGATGTCAGCTGGGAAACTGTTGAACACTTGTCCATTAGGAATGAGGCTGTAACATTTATCTCGTATTACATGGGTCCACAAACAGACATTGGATTTGAGCATCCTTCCGTCTCTTCTAAGAAATTATTTTAAAATAATAAGTGTCTAGATAGCCTGGATGTTTTCAGTGCACCCAAATCTTAAATTAAAATTAAATAGCCTTAGGCATTTTAATAGTCTTGCTTGAGGCATATTAAGTAAAGTCACTTGGACAGCTGATTTAGAGTGTATTTTGCCTAACTGGACAGCTAGTTAGAAAGACATTTATTACTGTCCAGCACACTTACATGATGCTAACATATTTTCTGTTTTACAAAAGTATAGCACAAGAAAGAAAAGCATTAATTGGTTAAGCAAAATATGACAACATCCATTTTCTCAAATTATTTTTAAACAGTTTGCAAATCTGCTTGGGCATTTAGGTTTAATTTGTGATGCAAATAAAACTCATGACACTGAAATGCAATATATATATATATATATATATATATATATTTGTGATGCAAATCTATATATATTATTTTGAGGCAACATGAATATAAGGTTCCCCAAGTCTTAGGCATCATTCTTTAAAATAACTTCTTAGAAAAAAAATAATGTTTGATTTTGGTCTTGCCATGGTGAGGCCGGATGCTATTTATTTCCAAAAAAGAACACAATTGTACAATACAATGTTATCTTTCACTCTTCAGATGTCCCTTCCCAAATCTCACCAATATTAATTTACTTCGACTTTGAAGTTGTGATGGCGTCAAATCAGAAGGAGAAATTGATTCACTAGTAGTTTCATGACTTGGCTGATTAACAGAGATCGGAAGGAGCATAACTGTGAAACTACTGCAGCATGAAGTTTTAACTGCTCTTCAGAGAGCTGGTTAATGAAAGAATCACTACAGAAACATTCATGTAAAAAGGAGCATTTTCATATAACACATGGAGGATATGTCATCAATGGAAATACGTTCATAATTTCTATTTACCCATAGGTGTAATTACCATATGTTTCAAGAGTACTTTCAGATTTCTGTCAAAGTTGCTTAGATATTTCCTCTGTCACATTTCAGGCAGAGAAATTCAGTACAGATTAGATCCTGCTCTATGATTTTTCCCCCTCCTTTCTTAAGAATTTAATTATCTGTTCTCATTGTGAAGAAAGCACTGGCATTCCCAAAGACCTGAGATTTCAATGCCTGATTGGACTGGCATTAATCTGATTCATGTTCTTGTTATCTTTGCCATCTGTCTGTGAACCAGTTCTTCACTTAGATTAAGATTAGTTAATATATTGCCCTTTAATTTTAAAAAAATCTTACTCTTTCTTTTGATGCAGTGTCTATGAACCAGACAGAAATGTGCTGCGGAGGAAAGAATGGGAAAGGAGAAATCAGGAAACACAGCAGGAAGATGGCACGTTTACCACAAGTTACTCCCTCTTCAGTGAACCATACAAGGTAGATGTTTCCCAGTTGTCCTGTTATTTATTTATTTATTTATTTATTTATTTATTTATTGGGTATTAAAAAACAGGTTGTAGAAGATCCTGGCTGGGCTTCCGTAGACTCCTACAAGGGTTGGCCTCACAAAACCTGTACTTAATGTTTATGATTCATTGAGAAGTAGATACTTTTATGTTGGTTTCTTATAACATTCAGTATTATACTAAAATTAAATAAACTAGTAATATCTTTGTTATACTTAGAAGTTGCATTAAGTCTAAAGAAGTGAAGGTGATGGTGTATACTGAAATGCTTAGGAAAAATAACTGTTAGAATTAAGTCATGCAGCCCATTAAATGTCATGCTCTTGACTTAGTTGTTTATTGTTTAGACTGAGGATAGATATGGCTTATTTTTATTGGCTTTGAGTGATACCACAAAATGTTCCTAAAGATGTACTCCACCAGGATTTTATTTCTGTGTCCTCTGCTCCCTAGCAGAAGCAAAGAGAACCTTTGCTTCCTTAAACTCATGTACTATTCTGGTTAGGCAATGATAGCAGCATGGAGGACTAGCCTCTCCTCAACAATGGGAATACTTGACCATCATAACTACAGGCAGTTTTTCTTTCTGAGCAAGGTTAGTGAAGGAGCTGCACCTCTCCAGTGACTCCTCCAATTTTATCTTGAAAGATTGTAGGATATCTACTAGGTCTCTGCCTTTCCAGGCAGGCCTGAGTTATTTCAATTGCTTTCTTGTTGGGAGCTTTACCTCATTTCTTATATATTTATTCTGGATGGCTAGGGTTCTTTGGTGCCTAATTTTTGCTATTTCATTGGTTGCCTTGCCACTTCAGTGTTTCAGTAAGTCAGGGCTGAATGGCAGCTTTTAATTCTTCACTGTTTGTACTCTTTCCAAAATGTCTGTTTCCTAAAAGGGGAAGAAAGAGTGGTGGTCTCAAATCATGGCAGAACAGCACTGGTAGCAATGCAACAATGTATCCACAACTTCGTCTGCCTTGAAGTTGCCCACCAGCTGTGCAGATTTTAGATTTGCTGCAGATATTATCTTAGCCACTTAAAAAATAGGGGAGACATCTTCAAGTCTTCCTCAAGGCAGTGCAGTGGGGCAGCTGCTAGTGGGCTGTGGCTGCTGAGTTGTCCTTTCTGTGGCAGTATTGCTGTGTGTGCCTCCTGCCTGGCCATCTGGGCAGCTATTGCCCAGAAGGCGATATGTTCCCACTGTGGTGGCCTGCCTTGAACTGTCAAAGCATGTCCTCCTGGTCCCAACTAGCCAGGAGGTCAGCCACCTCCAGCTGGGTCCAAGGTGCCAGCTCTGAGCACACTCCTCTGTCTGGGTCCTGCCACTTGCCTTCCTAGCAGGAATTCTGGTGTTCCCTATTTGAAAACTGAAAAATCCCTGATAAAAAAATCTCAAAGTCACTCTCTAAAATACCCCGAAATCCATGTTCCTCCACAATTAAAAAAAAGACCACTATATATAGAGAGAGAGACAGACAGAAATAGAGAGACTGAGACAACAATCAATTGGGCACTGTTTTACTTATATATCTACAGTGTTAAAGCAATTTGGAAGCCTACCTGTATCATCATAATAAAATGAATTCTAAATGACTGGATGTCTTGCTGGGCCGCTGCCCCCACAACAGGAGCCACATGGCCCCCGCAGGGGCTACCACCCCCTGCAGGGCCCACATGCCGCACCCCTGCTTGCTCCCCCAGATTGCTGCCCCACCCCTGGCTTGCACCCCCAGCTCCCTGATGCCTGCCCCACCCCCTGCCCACTCCCTGAGGCATCCCAATGGCTGTCCCACCTGGCCTCATCCCCTGCTGGCACCCTGAGTCCCTCTGTTAGCTGCCTCCCTACCCCAGCCTCCTGGCACTTAAAAAAATAAAAATAAATTAAAAAGCCTTGCACTCATTGGCAGTAGCAGGGCCTATGGGGGCTCTGGAGCCTCCTGGCAGAGCTGTCCCATGCAATAGGGGGCAGCAGAGGGCTCCCCAATCATGCCCTTGATACCTCCCCACCTGGCCCCACCAGTCTCAAAAAAAAAAAAAAAAAAA